CTGGGTGTTATGCACAAACAATGAATCATGGAACACTTCATCTAAAACTAATGATGTAATGTATGGGGATTAACATAAGAATAAAAAAAAAAGATAAATAAATCTCCCTGGAAAATAAAAAATAAAAAGGTAAAAATAAAGAGCATTTAAAACAAACAAAACAAAACAAAAAGAAAGTACTGTTAGTTTTCTTGGGATGATACTGCCTTGGTGGTTATATATTTTTTAAAAAGATTCCCATCTGATAAAGATAGCTATTTACTGAAGTATTTTGGGATTAAAAAGATGAGTTCACAAGATTAGTCACTCAGTAAAATTTAACTATTACTTTATAGCTACTATTATTTAAAGATTTTTTTAGTATAGTTGACACACAATGTTATACTTCTTTCAGGCATGCAACAGAGTGATTCAGCTTCTCACTGTGTTATGCTGGGCTCACCACAAGTGTAGCTACCATCAGTCCCCATACAACACATCACAGTGTCATGGACTATATTCCCTATGCCATGCCGCCTTTTATTCCTGTGACTTATTCATGCCATGGCTGGAAGCCTGTATCTCCCTCTCCCCTTCACCCATTTTGCCCATCCCTACCCCCTTTCTTCCTGGCAACCATCAGTTTGTTTTCTATATTTATAGGTTTGATTCTGCTTTTTGTTTATTCATTTGTTTTTTAGATTCCACGTATGAATGAAATCATATGGTATTTGTCATTTGTCTTTCTCAATCTGACTTTACTTAGAATAATACCCTCTAGGTCCATCCATGTTGCTGCAAATGACAAGATCTCATCCTTTTTGTGGCTGCATAATATTCCTGTGTGTGTGTGTGTGTGTATTACTTCTTCCTTATCCATTCATCTACTGATGGACTTGGGTTGCTTCCATATCTTGACTATTGTAAATAATGCTGCAATGAACATAAGGATGTATATATCTTTTTGAATTAAAGTTTTCATTTTCTTGGATAAACACCCAGTAGTGGAATTATTGGATCATAAAGTATTTCTTTTTTTTTCTTTTTTAATTTTATTTATTTATTTGACAGAGAGTGAGAGAGGGAACAGAAGCAGGGGGAGTGGGAGAGGGAGAGCAGGCTTCCCGCAGAGCAGGGAGCCCAATGCGGGACTCAATCCCAGGACCCTGGGATCATGACTTGAGCCGAAGGCAGACGCTTAACGACTGAGCCACCCAGGCGCCCCAAGTATTTCTATTTTTAATTTTTTGAGGACCCTCCATACTGTGGTTGTACTGGTTTGCATTCCCACCAACAGTGCAAGAGGGTTCCCTTTTCTCCACCATTGTCAATACTTTTATTTCTCTTTCTCTTTTTTTTTTAATTTTAACCATTCCGACAGGTACCTCATTGTGGTTTTGATTTGCATTTCCCTGATGATTAGTGATGCTGATCATCTTTTCATGTGTCTGTTGACCATCGGTATGTCTTCTTTGGAAGAACATCTATTCAGATCATCTGCCCATTTTTTAATTGGATTGTTTGTGTTTTTTCTGGTGTTGTGTTGTATAATTCTTTATATACTTTGAGTATTAACTCCTTATCAGATATATCATTTGCAAATCTTTTCTCCCATTCAGTAGGTTGCCTTTTTGTCTTTTTGATGGTTTCCTTTGCTGTGCAAAAGCTCTTTATCTTTATTTTGATGTAGTTTCAATAGTTTATTTTAGCCTTTTTCCTTTGCCTTAGGAGACATATCTAGAAAAATGCTGCTATGACTGATGTCAGGGAAATTACTGCCTGTGTTTTTTCCAGGATTTTTATGGTTTCAAGTCTCTTAGATCACGAACAAGACAAGGATGTCCATTCTCACCACTTTTATTCAACATTGTGCTAGAAGTCCTAGCCATAGCAAACAGACAAGAAACAGAAATAAGAGGCATCTAACTGGTAAGGAAGCAGTTAAATTTTCACTATTTGCAGATGACATGATATTGCATATAGAAAACCCTAAAGACTCCACCAAAAAGCTATTAGAAGTAATAAATGAATTCAGTAAAGTTGCAGGATGTAAAATTAATATCCAAAGATTGGTAGCATTTCTATATACATTAATAATGAAGTAGCAGAAAGAGAAAACTAAGAAAACAATCCATTTAGAATTGCACCAGAAAGAATAAAATACCTAGGAATAAATTTAATCAAGGAGGTGAAAGACCTGTACCCTGAAAACTATAAAACATTGATGAAAGAAGCTGAAGGAATGGAAACACATTCCATGCTCATGGATTAGAAGAATTAATATTGATAAAATGTCCACACTACCCAAAGCAATCTACAGATTCAATGTGTTCCCTATCAAAATATCAACAGCATTTTTCACAGAACCACAACAAATAATACTAAAATTTAAATGGAACCACAAAGACCCCAAAATAGCCAAAGCAATAAATCTACTATAAGCATGATCCACTTCTCCTCTAACCCTAAAGGCAACCATAATCTGGTGCAAGTCCGTTTCTTTTTTAAGATTTTCTTTTTTTTACTTGAGAGAAAGAAGAGCCCACGCGAGCACACGAGCCAGGGAGAGGCAGAGGCAGAGGGAGAAGCAGGCTCCCCACTGAGTGGGGAGCCCAACACTGGGCTCCATCCCAGGACCCTGAGATCATGATCTGAGCTGAAGGCAGACGCTTAACCGACTGAGCCACCCAGGTGGCCCTGGAAACTTTCCTTTTTAAACACTGTGGTAAACCACACATAACATGTACCATCTTGACCATTTTTAGATGCGTGGTTCTGCAATGTTCAGTACATTCACGCTGCTGTGCCCACCACCACCACCATCCACAGAGCTCCTCATCCTGCACATCTGTGCCCATTAAACCACGACTCCCCCTCCTCCAGCCCCTGGCTCCACCATCTACCTTCTGTCTCTATAAATCTGACTGCTCTAGGGACCTCACAGAAGTGACTCATACGGTATCTGTCTTTTTGTGTCTGGCTCATTCCATTGAGCATAACGTCCTTGAGGTTCACCCACATTGTGGCAGCTGTCAGAATGTCCTTCCTCTCCGAGGCTGAACAATACTCCATTGTGTCTACAGACCACGTTTTGTTTGCCCATTCATTCGTCAATGGACACTCGGGTCGTTTCCACTTCGTCTACTGTGAATAATGCTCATGAGAACATGGACGTACAAGTATCTCTTTAAGACTCTATTTTCAATTCTTTTGAAAATATACCCAGAAGTGGAATTGCTGGATGGTAATTAATTTGATTCAGTTTTTGAGCCTCTATGCAACTCCAGAGTCAGGGGATGTGACTTTGCTTCTTGGCGCCCCACTAAAAGCACACACGTGCTTGTTTTTCAGTTTCCATAATTGTATCAACATTTCTTGTCCTACATTTGCTCCTCTCTCATTGCCTTCTTTCCTTCTTAGCTTATGTCCTCCTAATAAATCCCCTAATTGTCTTTCAATGAGGTTTTGGGAAGAAATGTATATGTCCCATCTGCATGTTTATGTGGAAGTCCTTATATCTGTTCCTAAATTCAGCAGTCCCAAATTCTAAGCTTTACAAGAGTTCACTCCTCTTTTAAACTATGAATTTTTTGCATCCCACAGCACCTCACTTAAAATTTCTAAAGGCTTAAATTTCAGTAACATTTAAAGGGATAAATTAACATATCAATTTTAGCCAATTTAGAAAGCACAGATAAGCAAAAAGGAACAAAAAATATTGATCGCAATTCTACTACTCAGAGAATAACACTTTTGTAAATAAACTAGATTTACCTTCTAGATTTTTCCATGTGCACATCATGCCTGGGTTGTCTCTTGTTCTGTCTACACCTCAACCAGATGTGGAACACAGCTCCCTAAGTTCTCCTGAAGAGCCTCTTTCCGCCAGAGATCTAATGACAGACTTCACAGAAGAGATTTCACTGAGGAGATCATTCACATCGCGTCCCCACAACAAACCACTTACAAACCCACCACAGAAATTTCTCTTCTTCAAATTCCTTTTCTGCTATGTTGCCTGCCAGTGAGGGTTCTTCTGTCTTACCTTCTCTTTATAGGGCCTGTTGTCTCATTCTCCCAGATCCCCACCACTCCGATGCCCTATGACTTCCCACCTCTTTGCCCTCAGCTCTGACCCCATTCCTGCCCTCAGCATCCCTGGGACATAACCTAGAAGTTGTGCACGTCACCTTGCTCACATCCTGTGACCAAAAGGACCCACAGTTCCCTGAGGGAGAGAAATGTTGTGGGGTTTTTTTTTAAGATTTTATTTATTTTATTTGAGGGGGTGGGCAGAGGAAGAGGGAGAGAGAGAAGCAGACACCCCGTGGAGTGCAGAGCCCAATGTGGGGCTCCATCTCATGACCCTGAAATCACGACCTGAGCTGAACCCAAGAGTCAGATGCTCAAGCGACTGAGCCACCCAGGCGCCCCTAGAGAAATGTATTCTTATTCTGGATTGCTGGGAGCCCAGGTATTTGCTGTCACAGTGCAGAAGGGGACGATGGTGATTGAAGTCCAGTTAGCAGTGTCTCGCATGCTAAGGCTATGCCTTAGAAGTGGATGGCTGACCTCTGGGCTGTTGGGAGGACTCAGTGCATCAAGCCTGTGGGAAGTGGTTTGAGAGTGTGTTGCAATAGTCATTTCCTGATAGAGACTAGAAGACAGAAACTCTGGGTATGCAGAATGGAGGACTGAAAAACCAGGGGCAAAGCTGTTCCTGCACGTCCTGGAGTCAAGAGGACATCTTGGCTTCTCACCACCAACAAGACTGAAGGAAGATCCTTGGAAGAGGCTTGTGGGTGCTGCCATGATGCCCCAACTCTTGGCTCTGCTCTGCACTGGTAAGTCACGGAGGGGGGCAGCCACTGGACGGGTGGGGCTGGGCTGTGGCAGCAGCTGGAGTTGGTGGGGCCTGTGGGGTGGGTAATGGCGTGGGGTTAATAAACACAGACTAGAACCTTCCATTTCCTGAATACAAATTATGTACAAGGGACATGCTGGGTGCTTTACACACATTTTCCTGTTTCCCCAAACTCAGTCATCCCTGAACTTCCCCATGACATTTTTCCCTATGTACGTGACCTCTGTATTCTTCCCTATGTGATCTTCCTCTTTAAATTCCCCAGGTTTTTGTATTATTGTTTTTGTACTCAACTCTATTTTAAAGGAAAATCTGTAAAACACTTCTATTAATGGAAAATCAGTGTCCCTCATCAAAAACAGACCCTGTTCGCCTCTGGGCCACAGTTTCCCCAGGTCCTGTTTCTGAGAGGTAGCAGTGAATGCAGAAAGCTGGCTTCAGTCTAGCACTCGGCAGTGGTATTCTTCCATGGGATCTGAGAGAGTGCCAAGAACCAAGAAGACAGACTTTCTCACACAGGCTCAGTGACACTTCCTCTCCTGTCATTGACCTGAAGTCATCTTACATCTCTTAGAGAAAGTCTCCCAAATAATTCTCTTCCCCATACTGCATTCAAGGAATCTGAAAGTCACAGCTGAAGTACCTGCCAAGGTCACTCTGCTGCTAAGCGGACAAGCTGAATTCAAATTCTGGTCTGCACAGTGCCAAAGACCATAATTTTCCATTGGGCCATACGAAGGAATTAAAAGGTCCTAATTTGGGGGTCAGGGGGTGGAAATGTCTGGAGGGTGGATGAAGGGAGTCATGGTTAGAAAAACCTCAAGAAGGTAAATGAGCAGTGGATCCAATGATCTTAGTAGGTGCCAGCAACCTTCTCCTGTAAAGGGCCTGATAGACAGGCTCTGGGGTTACATGGTCTTTGTTACCTACCATTCAACACCTGTCAGAATGGCTCTCATCAAGAAGACAAGAGGTGTTGGTGAAGACATGGAGACTAGGGACTCACGCACTGTTGGTGGGAATGCAAACTGGTGCAGTCACTGCAGAAGACAGTATGAAGGTTCCTCAAAAAGTTAAAAATAGGGGTGCCTGGGTGGCTCAGTCGGTTGGGCATCTAAGTCTTGATTTCAGCTCAGGTCATGATCTCAGGGTCGTGAGATCAAGTCCTAGGTTGGGCTCCTCACTGAGCGCGGAGCCTGCTTGAGATTCTCTCTATCCCCTTCCCTCTGCCCCTCCCCCACATGCTCGTGCTCTCTCTGTTTCTAATAATAATTTTTAAAAAAGCTAAAAGTAGAACTACCATATGATCATCAACCCCACTTTGGGGTTATATATCTAAAGGAAATGAAAACATGAAATTGAAGGGATGTCTGCATCCCCATATTCACTGCAGCATTATTCACAGCAGCCAAGGCATGGAAATGACCTAAGTGTCCATCCATAGATAGGTGGTTACAGAAGATGTGGTCCATATTATTCAGCCGTGAGGAAGAAGGAAATCCCACTATTTGTGACAACATGGATGGACCTTGAGGGTATTACACGAAGTGAAACAAGTCAGAGACAGAAAGATAAATACTGTATGAACTCACTTTTCTTAGGATCAATTGGTCTAGATCTGAAAGGAAGGCCACCAGGGAACATACACCTCACCCTTCCAGGCAATACCAATCTTAGATTTTTGAGATTTCCTCCGGGGTACCAAGGAGAGGACTCATGGCCAACCATAATGTCAGGGATGCATTTAGGCCATTCCCCAAGGGCAGACAGAAGCTTCTCCATGCAAAGGACTGCATTCTCAGCAGCTAGATGTCCCTTATCATAGGGTAGGGCTCTCCCCACTCCTTCCCCCGCTCTCAGTTGATATGGATGGTTATGCTGTTGCGTTGGGAGGGAATTTGGGAAATCATTATTTCTGAAATCATTATTTCAGAAATCTTTGTAAATGACACTCTTTACATAAGACCAACTCCATTGGTCAACATGTATTTGTTGAACATCTGCCAAAGTCCACACTGCATTCTAGGTAGTGAGGATGTATTCTTTGCGCTCAAGGGGCTTAAATTCTAGTGATTCCAGATCTCTTATGAACCCAAGAGCATCAGGAATAATAGATGTCTTTAAAACCTAAGTGGTTTCTTTTCCCCCCAGCCAAATGGTTTTTGTCATTATTAAGATTTCTCTCACACTCAAGAAGCCATGGCACCAGGGGAAGGGTGGGTCCTGTGCCCTCTACAATGTTGACACGCTCAGGAGACACCCCGAGTGACACATTTAGGGTAACAGGGATGATCAGGAGCCAAGTGTAGTGTCCCTTATCCTCTCTTCACCATCAAATCTAGAGATGACATCACAGGATACAACAGACGAATAGGGTGGATGGATAAAGGATGGGTGGTGGGGGAAATCGTTGGGTTCTGAGGCAAAATGGCAAGGCCATCCAAAATCCTGGGGCCATTGTGAGGAGAGATGACCCTGGGACAGTGAAGTGGGACAATGTGAGAAATGACAGAGACTGTGGTATGGAGGATGTCCATATCTTGACTCCCAGGAGCTGTGGACATGTTCCTTTGTGTGGCAAAGGAAATGCAAGGTGGCAGGAGGGATTAAAGTTGCTTATCAGTTGGCCTTAAAGTAGGGAGCTTCTTCTGGATTATCTGGGTGGTCACAGTGTAACCAACCACGCGATCCCCAGGGTAGCAAAAGAGGCAGAAGAGGGTGTCAATGCGCCAACGATTCCTAGTTTTAGAGCCAGAGGAAAAGGCCACTACCAAGGGGTGCAGGCGCCTCTAGAAGCTGTGAAAGGCCAGGAAATGGGTTGTCATCTAGAGCCCCCAGAAGGAACACAGCCCCGAAGACACCCTGGTTTGAGCCAGTGGGACTTGTGTTGTTGGATTTCTCTAACCCACGGAACGGCAAGGTAATAAATCTGTGTCATCACGAGCCACTAGACTTGTGACAATCTGTAACACCAGCAGCCCTAGGAAGTTAACATAAGGGGCAAGCCAGCATCCATGCCAGATGGGTTCTCCAGCAGGAGGCTGGGACTGCCACTGAGCGTGATGACAGGGCTCAGCAGCAGCCCCCGGGGAGGCCCCTTGGGACGGGGCTCCAGGTGGATGCTCATGTCTCATGGACGGTTCTCTTGCAGGGCTGTGTGCTGGCCAAGGAAGCAGGACAACTGATGGTGAGTTCCTTCAGTCAGACCCTCCCTCCCCTTCACTCCAAACTCCCTGTGTCCCTTCTCTTTCCTTCAAGGGGTTTCCTGAGAGCAGACAAGGGCACCAAATCCCATCCCCAAATCTGCTTCCTTCCAGAGTCCCTTCCCAAGCCCTCCCTCAGGGCCTGGCCCAGCTCGGTGGTGTCTCGCAAGAGTAATGTGACGCTGCAATGCTGGACTTCTACCAAGAATGTCAACTTTGTTCTCAGAAAGGGAAAAGTTCCTTTGCAGTCTTTGCCATCACGGGCTTCCACAGAGGGCCTGGCTGAATTTCACCTCACTGACCTAAACACCGACAATGCTGGAGAGTACGCCTGTGAGTACTACAGACGAGGGAGCCCGTACATACGTTCACAGCCCAGTGACGTCCTCCTACTGCTGGTGACAGGTGAGGAGGTGCCTCGGAGGGACATAGGGTCTTGCAGGGACAGGTGTGGGGGAGGGACCCGAGGGAGGGAGGGAACAAGGGGAGATGGAGAAACACAGAACAGACTGACCTGGCTCAGCTTCATCCAGGGCTTGCTGGGGAAATCTTCCCACAGTCAGAGTGGAAAGAGGGTGAGACCAGGGATCTGTCATTTCCCCCCCTTGGCGGGAACCCCTGCCAGGAGAACAAGGGAGGGTGGGGGACCCCGGGCTGCTCCCCATGACCTTGGAGCCCTCCTTTTCTTCCAGGAGATTTACCAAAACCTTCCCTCCAAGCCTACCCAAGGGGTGAGGTGAACGAAGGAGAAAACGTGACCCTGCAGTGTCAGGGGCCAGCCAGTGTTTACAAGACTGTAATGTTCGCTCTACTGAAGGCGGGAGCAGCAGGGCCCATACAGATCCGGGGTCCAGTAGAAAAGGAGACGGACTTCTCCCTCCGGACTGTGACAGTCAGTGATGCCGGGAATTACAGCTGTGTGTACTTCCAGACAGGGATTCCTTTCTGGGCTTCGCACCCTAGCGATCATCTTGAGATCCAGGTGACAGGTGAGGTTTGCACTGTAAGGAGGACCGCAGCTGGATTACCTGCCTGCTGAGGTGCTGGGACCTGAGGGAGTGCGGTGCGGGCACAGTCTGTCTCCACAAGACTCTGCAGCTTGGAGAAATCATTTAGGAAGAACCAAGGGAGGGCCAGGATTCTGTGGAACCGTGTAGAGGATCTTCTGCCAAGACAGGGAGCAGAGATGGTGGAGAACCACATAAAAGGAGGCTGGGTGGGGGCTTCCCACTGTAGGTGGCCGGATGTACTCTGGGGGGACAGGCTTCAGGGAGGGGGGATTTGCAATAATTGACCCCCACTAGGAAAATAAGATGTAGCCACAAAACTATCGCATATCTCCTGGGCAGGGCATAATTCATTTAGACCAAAATGTGAATGACACCTCCTGGGGTTATGCAGAGGAGGTTCTAACCAAAAGGCAGAGGAGGGGGCAGAGAGTAACAGAGCCCAGGAGGATCTTCCTGAGAAAGACTCAGAGACTGCAGCAAGATCTGTGTTCCATTTTCATTGGGACTCTAGCACTCTTGCCTTTAACTCAGCTGAGTCGAGCTTTTCTCTTCCTGCCGAGCCCTTTCTGTAGAGAGGAATGATTTTTTTAAAAAACCATGGCAAAAGTGCATAACGTATAAGTTACCCACCTCCAGAGCGCCCTTCATCTTGCAGAACTGAAACTCTGTCCCCATCAGATAGCCTCTCTGCAACCCTCCCCCACCCCCAGCCCCTGGCTCCCACTATCCTACATTGTCTCAATATATCTGACTAATCCAGGAAACTTACCTCACTGGAATCATACGGTATTTGTCATTCTGTGACTGGCTTTTCTCGCTCCGAAATACGTTCTCAAGGTTCATCCACACCATAGCATATAGCTGGATTTCCTTCCTTGTTGAGGCTGATAACGTTCCATTTTATGGGCAGACCACATGTCGTTTACCTATTCCTCAGCTGATGGACATTTGGGTCCTTTCCACCTATTTGGCTACTGGCCACCTAGTGGCTATCAATTCTTTTGGATGTATACTCAGAACTGGGATTGCTGGATCTTAGGATAGTTCTACCTTTAAATTTTGGAGGACCCGCCACCATACTGTTTTTCATAGTGGCCATGTTCTACGTTGCTACCTACAGTGCACAAGGGTTCTGTTGGTTTGTTCAGGAAAGGGATGTTTTTTGACCCTTGTGCACTAGGGCTATTTTTGACGACTGAATTTGTCCAGGACAAGCGGAGGAAGAGAGGCCAGTAGGAACCAGGCATCCTCCTGGATGGGGGCTGAGCACCCCAGTACGGACATGAGGACCAGTCATACCTGCACAGGGCAGTAAACAAAGAACCTGGAATTTCCAAAAAGCTCATGGTGCCGGGATTCGGGGCTCCTGAGAAACGCCACGCAGGAGACGACAACAGGTGAAGTCAGTGGACCTGAGTTAAAACCACAGCTCTGGCGCTTGCTGTGAATATTCCTCCACTCAGTTCTTTGCCTGCCTTTCCCTCATCTGTCAAGTGGGGGGAGGCAGCAATGCACACCTCCGACCCATACAACTTCTGTAGGAAGGAGAGAGAATGTAAGCGATCAATTATAATGGATAGTTTTGAGGACTGTATTCAAGACACTTGGTTGCAAGTGAAAAGCACCTACCTTGACGTGACCTCGGGAAAGTGAGGGGAATAGATCAGCCCTTGGGATTAAAGAGGTCATTCAGGGTTTCCCAACCGGGCACTACTGACATTTTTTGCTGCATAATTCTTTTTTTGGGGAGGGGGGGAGAATGGTGCATCCTGTGCATCATAGGATGTTCAGCTGGATCTCTGACCTCCACCTGCTACAAGTCTCCTTTGCCAACTGGGACAACCACATCATCTCCAGACACTGGCAAGTGTCCCACGGAGTCCGGACTATGCGTGGCTAGAAACCACTGGGATCATGGGCCAGTAAATCGTGGGAAGCACATGGGTGCTACCTGCTTCAGAAACTGGAATGAGGGACCGGAGTGTTGCCCGGATTCTTTTCCCCTCTGACACTTGTTTGTGTCCTTATGGTGCTCTTTTAGTGGGGACCAGCTCCCTCTTTTGGGCAGAGAGCATGGCTTTTACGAGCTGAATTTATGAGCAGCTCACAAATTTTACTCCTGGAGAAGCATCTGACCCTCCTTCCCAGACCCAGTTCAAAACAGACAGACACACAGACAGACAGACAAAGGGACTGGGGAGGGCTGTGAACAGTCCTGGTCAGCTTAGCCTCTAGATCGATCCTAGGAAATGCTCATGAGAGAATGCTGTGCAAGAAAAACCCCAGCACCATCCAGGGTGACTCGAATGTAGGGGGGAATGAGCAGTTTCTAAAAGAAGGAGAGGAGCTACCCTCTGATCCTATGGTCTGAAATTTGTGTCCCCCACCCCTGCAATTTCATGTTGAAATCCTAACCCCTAATGTGACATCATTAGGAGGCGGGGCCTTTGGGAGATGCTTAGGTCTTAAGGGTGGAGTCCTCATGACAGGACTAGTGCCCTTATAAAAGGAGACCCCAGAAGCTCCCTTGGCCCCTTCTGCCACCCAAAAGAGCCCCACCCCCACCCCTGGACCATGCTGGCGCCCTGATCTCAGATTTCTGGTCTCCAGACCTGTGAGAAAAAGACGTCTGTTGTTCATCAGCCCCCCAGCCTGTGGCATGCTCTTAGGGCAGCCCAAAGGGACTAAGACAGCTAATAAGGGTGGGGTATCTGCTCAGCAAGGGTGTTTGCTACAGAATGGCAGAGCCCTGGACAGAGCAAGAAAATTCCAAGGTCCTGAGGTTGATCTGGAGACCACCGGCAGCAGCACGGGGTAAAGGAGTTTTCTCTCTACCCCAGGGTGGGGCCACAGAGCCCAGGAGTGAGGCAGGGAATTCACGGGTCCAGGGAAACCTTTCCTGCATTTAAGATCCAGCTACTCCATTGCCTCCTAGGTCAATGTGAAGGACATTCCCCCCAGGGATAAGTCAGGTAATTGGGAGAAAGGGAAGAACATTCAAACAACCATAGCCATTTGAACAGGGATGAGCACCTGTCACTTAGGTAGATGGCCCCCCTGTCTGGAGGAGTGTGTACCTGCTCTTGTTTTGCAAGTAATTACAAGCATTTGGATTTTAGTTAGTTAACAAGCTATCTTCCTATAGATTACTTAGCTTCTGTCTGCCTCAGTTTCCGTACCTGTTAAACGGGACTGAGAGTAGGACCGACACAAGGGACTCATGGTGAGATTTTGAGGAGTTAAAGGACCTAAATCCTTTCTAAACTGTCTGGTGGACAGCAAGTGTCATTGAAGTCATCTAAGTGTTTACTATTATTATCATTATGAACACCCCAAACGTCCCCCTCTGCATGGCAAAACAGCTTTATCAAGAGCTGCACTCCTAATGCCAGACTTTCCAGGAAACAGAGAACATCTGAGGTGTGTACCCCTCAGATGGTAACAGTAAATATCCTCATTGTTACAATGAATTACAAATATTAGTGGAGAATTACATGACCTCCTAAGGTCTTCCAGGTTCTAAAAGGGCCAAGGGTGCACGTCTGTGTCTTTAACTCAGCTCAATTGCACGTGACAAGGTTAAGCACAGATGAGATGGTCTTCAAAACATGACGCTCAAAGAGACAAAACCGGAAGAAAAATATTGTAGGTTGGATCTGCTCTCTGTAGAAGGCAGACATTTTAAATAATTTCGGGTTATTCCACAACTGGTGAGTCATTTGTTTTTTCTCTTCTTTATCCTTGGCATATAAGGAACCCTCTGAGTTTCTTGATATGCTGCTCCCAGCTTGAGTACATCAGTGACAGAACGGCTCAACTGGAAGGACCCAGGAAGCTGTTGTCAAGCCCAATCACCACCTTTCCCGTGTTCCTTCAGCAACCGTTCAAACCCTGACAACCGTCACCAAGGGCAACAGGCTGAGGAAGACAGGAGGGTGTCATCTGGGGAGTGGGGGGTGGGGGGTGGCAGGGAGATGATTGAATAGAGGTGCACTGACAGACCACTGCAAACGGAGCCCAAGAGTTTCCCTTTGGGATTCGCCAGAGCTTTTTATAAACCCTTTCGACATTTTTGGTGGTCACTGCTGGGGATGGGGGATAGAGGATGCTCCTGGCATCTAGGAGGCAGAGACCACGGAAGCTGCAAAACACCCTGTGATGCCCAGGACCCCTCCCCACCAAGAACTATCCAGCCCCGAATATCAATGGCGCCCAGGTTGAGAAACCCTGCTCCAGACCCACTGTCTAGTTTCCAGGTAGACACCAGAGTTCTTGCAGGGATTTTAAGGGTGGAGACCATACTCTCCTCCAATTCCTGAAGCCTCTAATTCCTTAAACTATGTGCCCTGGACCAGTAGCTGTTTCAGAAACTACTTACCAGAGTACTGTCTTCCTTCAAGGTCACTTGTGGTGTTTTGGGGTTTTTTTCCCTTTTATCCTGAAGTTTGATTTGTCTCCAGTTTCCCAGCAACTTCTTCAGAGCCAGACCCTAGGAGCCTGATGGTTCGTGGGGTTTACTCATCATTTCTAAAGCAGGAATGAGATCAGTGCAGTCTCTGGTTTGGAGAAGAGCAGAATGTAACTGGCAGGGGGTAGCAGGGAGGGTGAGTAGACAGGAGGTGGTTGAGTCGAACAGTGTCCCACCTCCTGACGGTGTGGCTCCACAGGACAGAGAGGCGAAGAGCTACAGGGAAAAGAGGAAACAGTGGTCCGGAGTGAACAAACTTCCCAGGCCTGCTGCCTTCTTGGAAGCTCAAGGCTGGGGGAGGAGGTGGGCCCTTCAGATGGTCTCAGGGGTCTGCTTCTTCTGCTTTGGTCAACTCGTAGCCAGCACAGCTATGGATGGTAAAGGCAATGAAGAGTGATGTGGTGAGTATCATCACATCAGCAAGAGTCCCATGCCCGGTCTCTGCTACTCACTAGCTGTGTGACCCTGGGCAACTCATGTAGCCAGTAGGCTATACACCCAGGAGATAGCTGATGTTGAGCCTGGAGGTAGCTGGAGGCAGAATTCCTTTATCCACAAAGGAGATCAGTCTTTCTCTTTGGGCCTTCAACTGATTGGATGAGGCCCACCCATATCACAGAGAGTAATCTGCTCTACTCAAACTCTGCTGACTTCAGTATTAATCACTTTTTTTTTGTTTTTTTGTTTGTTTGTTTGTTTTTACGATTTTATTTATTTGAGAGAGAGAGAATGAGAGAGAGCACATGAGAGGGGGGAGGGCCAGAGGGAGAAGCAGACTCCCTGCTGAGCAGGGAGCCCGATGGGGGACTCGATCCCGGGACTCCAGGATCATGACCTGAGCCGAAGGCAGTCGCTTAACCAACTGAGCCACCCAGGCGCCCACATGTTTTTTTTTTTTGATTTTTTATTTATTTATTTGACAGAGAGAGACACAGCGAGAGAGGGAACACAGGCAGGGGGAGTGGGAGAGGGAGAAGCAAGCTTCCCGCCGAGCAGGGAGCCCGATGCGGGGCTCGATCCCAGGACCCTGGGATCATGACCTGAGCCGAAGGCAGACGCCTAACGACTGAGCCACCCAGGCGCCCCCACATCTGTTTTTAAAAATGAATTTTAGTTAAGATTGCATTTATTTTATTTTATTTTAATTCCAGTGTGGTTAACAATACAGTGTTATATTAGCTTCAGGTGCCACCTTCCTGGCAACCAGTCTAGACTGGTATTTGACCAAAAAACTGGTACTGTAGCCTAGTCAAGTTGACACATAAATTTAACAATCACACCCGCCTACACTCAAGTCTTGGGGTCCCTCAGGGGGTCTGGACACTTCTGGAATACACTCGCCTTTTCTTTCTGCATCCTATCTTACTT